CAGTCATACCTGAGTAATGCTTACGGGTTTGGGCTGTGTTATGGGTGTGCGTGAAATAATTACTAAAATATAGTGTGCTTCCTATAACGTTCCGGTAAATAAACGTAAAAGATCTTTAACAAAATGCTTGTGGATATTCAAGAGTAGGTTTCCTACTGGAAGTTTCATCTATGAATGTGTTTTAAGACGCTGCCCACAGAGTACAGGAGAGAGGGCCTCAAGATGCCCACGGTTTAAGAGCTGAATTACGCTTTGCAGACACAGTTGACAGACACAGTTAAAGCTTCCAAGGCGACACAATGATGTGTGTGGGTGACAATTTGCTTCTGAGACAGATTTATTGAAGTCTTAAAGTTATAACAACTTGTGGAGTGATTTCGTTTTTTTTTCTCCTGACCAAAATAGTGAAAAATGTTAAAAAAAAATACACATTTGAAACCCAACAAACTTTAAACATATTTATTTCCCCCTCCCCATTTTTTTTACTCTGTAACAAAGACGGGGAGATTCTAGGAATCTGCCATGGGCTGAGTAGGTGAAATCCAATCCAGATATTCTGAACGGAATAATACTTAACAATTTTCATCCACTACATCCATCTGTTGTTTTGCAAATTAGCCGTGAGTGGAAGGCGCTTTCAGGGTTTGTGTGTTTACCCCAATCTGGGCAGGGGTTTCTCAGTCCCTGCTGGTCTAATTAGGCCCTGCTGGTATTTGTTTGTTTGTTTGTCTTTGAGACAGAGTCTGGCTGTGCAGCCCTGGCTGGCCTGGGACTCTTCCTTCTCCTGCTTCATTTTTCTGTTGGGGCCCTAGGAATTAACCATGTGCTTTTGTTTGTGACGTCTTCAGTAGAGTTTGAGGTCCAAGTCAATGATACCTTAGAGCCCAGATCTGAACTTTAGTACCCTAAAATTTAGGGTTCCTTCAACTTTCACCCATTTCACTTTCCTCATTGAGATGCATCATGTAAGGAGGGAGGGGGTGCGCCGGTGCACACGGGAGATGTGGACCATGGAGCGTGGTGTCTGGGGCTCCCCCTCTCACCCCACACTTTAGCAATGAGACTGGAAGGTCGGGTTTCCCTGGAGTGATGGTGGACCCTGCCATCACAGACGTCCTTAAACTTGACTCTTGGGGGTCAGACTTCATTCAGTCATTTCACATGAGACACAATTAGACTGAAAGTCTGATAAGGAGTCGACAGATGAACAGGGTTTGAAGGCGCTGGCGCCGGGCTCGAGGAAGAGAGTTGGAAGTGGATCCTAGCGCTGTATATGGGTGTATGAGAAGGAGTCTTTTGTTCTTTTCACTCTGTTATTTTAAATTTGATTTTAATTTTGGGGGAGATGCTGCTAAGAGTAAGACCCTAGGACCTTCTTCTGCCTGGGCTCACACACTCTGCTGAGTTCAATCCTCGGCCTGGGGCTTCCATCTCAGACAGGAGAACTAAGTCTAATAAAGATTTATTTTTATTTTCATATGTGTAGGAGTGTTTTGGCCTGACTGTATGTACTGTATGTATATATATATATATATATATATATATATATATATGTGTGTGTGTGTGTGTGTGTGTGTGTGTGTGTGTGTGTGTGTGTATATGGTGTATGTGTATACCATGTGCATATATATGTATATATATATTTATTTATTATGTATACAGCATGTATGACTGCAGGCCAGAAGAGGGCACCAGATCTCATTACAGATGGTTGTGAGCCACCCTGTGGTTGCTGGGCATTGAACTCAGGACCTCTGGAAGAGCAGTCAGTGCTGAGCCATCTCTCCAGCCTGCAGACAATACTCTTAAGTGTTGAACCATCTCTTCAGTCCCAAGAGCTAACTGTACAAAGCCCACGGGTCTCCTGCCTCCAGGGGCCTGAGGTACTTGTGTGTTAGCATCTACTCAATGGGGACAGTGCAAGCTTGTGTCCATCTCTTAGTTATACTAATGGCATTAAAATCTCTTAGACTTGAATCAGCTGCAGTTTTTAAATAGGTTGTTTCCCCAGCAGTACATGGGATTGATGTTTCTCCCTAGACTCTTGTCTTGGGGGTGCCATCCAGAGGCTTGTTAAGCAAGGCCGTCTAACATCGTAGGTTTGTGCGCCGAACTGCTCAGTTTGCTCTCACTTCTCCGTGTTTCTTTATTTTCCATCGTTCAACCGAAGTGAAAGGCTCGGGAGAGGAAAAAGGGGGACTGGTGGGAGACAAGGGCCGTGAGAGGGGAGAGAAGCCCGGGCTCTTGGGGTGTTGGATGGGCTTGAGACTGTTATCACCACAGGGAAGCACAGAGGGCGGCTGAGGTTCACCAACGTGACCTGGGGCCTCTGCACCCCACAGCGTTCTCTGAGACAGCTCTGGACTCCTGGGAAAACAGTGAAGGAAGCTCTGACCAGCAGGACACCCAAAGCTACGGACGCCTGGTACATAACAAGCCTGCAATCAAAAGCAGCCGAAAAGGAAGTGGCGTGGAGTCGGTGCCGTCTCTGAGCTTTGCCGCTCACGCGCTGTATCCTAACCACCAGAGGGAACAACAGCACAAGGCCCATCAGCATTGTAAATGTTATTTGTTTGTTTATTAACCTGTGTGTGTGTGTGTGTGTGTGTGTGTGTGTGTGTGTGTGTGTGCATGCGTACACACACATGTCACAATACAACGGTGGAGGTCAGAGGACAATTTAGGGAAGTGGGTTGTCTCTTTCCACCATGTGGATCCCAGGGATTAACTCAGTCAGGCTTGACGGCAAGGCTTTACTCACTAAACCATCTTGCAGGCTCTCTCAAAGTATGTTTTTTGTTTTGTTTTGTTTAAATCAGAGTTTCTCTGTGTAACAGCCCTGGCTGTCCTGAAACTCAATCCTGTAGACCAGGCTGCCCTTGAACTCACAGAGATCCACCTGCCCATGCCTTCCGAGGGATGGGATTAAAGACTGATTGGTGGGTGTAAGATTAGTCTGGGAGCTGATTGGTGGGAGGCTGTAGTGGCTAGGGGCCTATTGGTGGTGGGGGTCTAGTGTCCAGGGTTTGTTAGACAAGAGGGTAGGAAAAGCTGTCTTTACCTAGCAGAAGTCTGAGGGCATCTGCTGAGGCAGCAGGAGGCCGGGGGCGGGGGGGGGGGGGGGGCAGGCACTATTGATTGGTTGTCCCTCTGAGAACTGCTTGCTCAGATCCAGCCTGTTCTAGTGAACTGAAACTAAGGCATGGTCATTGTCAGGGCTGCTAGGGGAGCCTGTCATGGCCCTAGTTTGGCCACCCCATCCTATCAAGACATGCTCCACCACTGCCCAGCCCAAAAGTACAATTTTAATATACTCATTTAAATGATGGAAGGCATGTTAATTTTTGCCTGTTGGGGAACAAGATTTTAGGCTTCCCCAAAGAATATTATAAAGATTTTGATATATAATGAAAACATGAAGTTGTAGATTCAGGACCGTGTGTGTGTGTGTGTGTGTGTGTGTGTGTGTGTGTGTGTGTGTGCCCGCGCACGTCCCGAATTCCTGTTTTGGGTTCTAGTTCAATTAAAGTCAATGTGTCAGGAATTCCATTACAAAGTGGTTAATATGCTGTTCTTTTCTTTAAAAATAATTATTCTTTTTAAAAAAATATTTTTATTTTATGTGCATTGATGCTTCACCTGCATGCATGTCTGTGTGAGGGTATCAGATCTTGGAGTTATAGGCAATTGTGAGGTGCCATGTGGTTGCTGGGAATTGAACTCAGGACCTCTGGAAGAGCAGTCAGTGCTCTTAACCTCTGAACCATCCCTCCAGCCCAATATGCTGTTCTTATGTTCAGTGCATGGCACATGAAATATACAAATGAAAATATATTTGAATTTATTTTCATTGAGCAAAATGAACTGACAGGAATGTGAAAGTGGAGGCATGTGTGCACACACTCACCCAGGGACCCCAGGAGACAGCAGACTTGATTAACAGGAAGAGACACTCATTACCACAGTTCCTACCGGGGTTGTTTAAGGTGATTTGTCGTCTTTAAATTTGACTAAAGTATTTATGACTATCTACTTATATGATGCCTCCTCTTCTTCCCATAAAAGAGATCATAAACATCTGCCCAAACATCTAAGGCTGGCCTGAAACTTATCCTCAGCTGGCTTTCCCACATACTTCCTGAATCATCTACGATGCGAATGGGCGATTCCTAAGCCCCTCTTTGTGTGTGGTCTGGGGAATGACTTGGAGACAGACCTGTGAGGCTCTGGGTACCCAGGACTGGGAATAGCAGGTGGGAGGGGTGGCCGCTGGGTGTCGCTGCTGCGGGGACAAGAAGGTATGAGGACTAGCATACCCGAGGATGCTGGGAATGTGTGCAGGTAGTGCCCCCGGGCCCCCGCCCGCCCCACACCCCAGCCTCCTACAGAGAGACCCACCCCGCCATGGAAGAACGCCAGCCCAGCGCCCAGTAGTAAATGATATGAAAATATTTTAGACTAGCCGCTGGTCCTTGGAGCAACTTGGAAGCACGGTTTACAACTTGAGGATTTTCAGAGGCACATTTGGGAAGTCAAATGACTTCCTTTAAAACGAAAAACCGTTTCAAAAGACTCTGGAAGGTGGGCTTAACACCCCTGGTCTCCCACCGTGGCCAGCCAAGGTTGGGGGTGGGAGGCAGGCAGTCTCTTTACCTTGGAGTTGGAAGCCCATCTGCCCCCTGCAACTGCAGGTCCTGAGAAGAGATCACAGCATCCGAGGGCCCTTCTCCTCATCCCTGACGACACAAACTTGAAGGGGGAACCGATGGAGACTACAAACAGGTTTATGGCCTGCCAGCAGGGCTCTGGGCTCCAAATTGTCAGGCGAGGCAGTCCCCGGTGGTTTTGGCTAGGCGGGTGCGCAGGGCCCCGCGGTGCGCTCATTAGCGCCCACTCTGCTTAATGGCTTCCTGTGGCTGCTTGTTTACTTCTCCTGTGCCTGAGGCTTTGTTTCTGGGCACTGCTCGCCCTGCTCACCACTTTGCTTTGCTTGTTTGCAGCCACAGCCCGAAGCCCCGCCAGCATTCCCGCCCAAGGCCTCAACTCGGTACCCTACAAGGTCCAACACCTACCTGGTAAGACAGGACCCCCCGCATGCAGTTCTCTGAGCATAAGCAGTACACTGTGCATCCCAAAGGACCTGGTTCCCTGCCGCTCCAGACCGGCCTTTGCCACAAGGCCGTCCATCAGCGACAACTGCCAGTCATCTGCCCAGGAACTAAGCAGAGAGGAGACCCAAGCCCTCCCTACACATCCCTGGGCCTCTGGGCCTGCCTCTAAGGATTGAATTGGCAGGGGCTCCCCCTGGTCCTGGGTCCTTTAAATACTTCCTGCAGAGGGGGTAAGAGTTCTTCCTTTAGAGAGCCACTGCTGGAATCTGAGATTGTCCAGTCTCCACAGAAAACCAGCTTAACCCGCCTCCCATTTCTGAATCCTGGGTGGTGGTGCTGTCCGTGGAACAAGCTACATTTCGGTCATCCAAAACAAACCCCTAGCTAGAGGGCAGTGAATGGCCAATTTTATTTTACTGTTGGATTTGTTAACTCCCAGGCCACATTGTTTTGCAGGAGGGTCAGCCCTGGCCCCCCTGCACGTCTCTTGTGCCAGGTGTCATGAACTCAAGCTAGGCTCTTGTGTCTGCCAGCTCCCAGAAGAGAGTCACTTACCTAAGGCTGCCTAAGAGTCCAGGTGTTAATCTTAACCTCTGCATGGAAAGTGACTTTGGAATGGCCTTCCTCTCAAACAACTATGGGCTTAGTTACTTGATGTTGGGATCACCTAAAAAAGCCACTTAGAACTATGTACATGAGTACTTTTGCCTTTTCCCAAACTGGAAATGGAAAACGTCACCCTTAAGTTTTGAGTCTCTGGGGCCCTGGGGGGCTTCCCTTCACTGTAAGTGTTGGAGGCATATGTCAAAACTGGCCATAGAGACGGACCCCTGTATCTACAAGCACAATTATATTTGAAAGAGGGAGAGTCTCGAAGCCTCCTTTCTGCTAAATTGGCAAGTGTATGTGCCTTATGGCAAACAGCATATTCCTATGTGGCAATTAAGGTGGTGCCTGCCTTCTGATTGTTCCCTTTAAGTCTTGAAATGTAAATGAATGCACAGAATTTACGGACAGAAAACTTCAAAAGTATGACGGATAGTATTAATTCTTGTGTCAATCTTAACAGGAACCCTGAGCCGAGGTAAGCTGAAGTTACGCAGAAGGCACTCTGACGTTTAGACACGGGATTACGTTTTCACTCTTCTGACTTCCAGTGTGCCGTTAGAAATGTCATCCCGCAGTGTGTATTTATTTATATACCTGTTCTCTTTGAAAATAAGATTATAGGGCTGCAGGATGAGCTGACTAAACATGGAATCCTGAAGAATTTGAGTGACTATGAAGACTTCTGGAAGCTGGTTCGGGAGGAAGCTCTTGGAGTGGACATGAAAGAAAAGCTTCAGAAGATAAAATTTAAGTGTTTGTATATCCCCCCCCCCCCCCCCCCCGCACTGGGGATTTTTGTTACTTTTAAGCAGATGGTTCTAGGAAGTGACAAGCAGTCTGTTTTTCAGCTGTGCTGAACCATTTAAAAGCTGTATTGATTTCTAATAATTTTATTAACAAGACAAAGGTTTGGGGGACCAAATAAGCACCAGGGAGAAAAACAGTGGTGAACGCTGGCGCTGCGGGGAACTGGGTCCCCGGTGAGGAGGATTACGGAGTTTTTCCTCTGGACCTTGCCAGGGTTTCCCGCCTCTCTCACCAGAGTGAAGAAATTCGTTTTGATAACTGTTGACTGCTTACTCCTTGCTAAGAACTGAGTGTGTGTACCTATGACACATGGGGTGGAGTGTTGTCGGGAAGGCTCCTCTGCCCGTGTCTGTGGGTGCAGTGCCTGGAAGGCAGCCAGCTTGCTGCAGGAAGCTGCAGGAAGGTGGCCCACCTGATTCGTGGTGGCGTAGCTTTTCAAAGTGTGCTGTCTGTCTGTGTGTCCTCAGGACTGAAGTCTGGGGAAACTCACAGGCTGTAAGTCTTTCTGGATGAGTACAGAAAGCCATGCAGCTTGGGCGAGTGGTTTAAACTGTCTACGGGAGTTAGAGTTCACAAACCGTTTTCACTGTTGAAAACACCTTTGTGTGAAGGTAAAATACGGCAATTCGCAAGGTCAGTTTAGAAGTGTGTCTGCTGTCAAAGCTGTTCTTGGACTTCATGATTGTTCATATTTTATAAAAGAGCAGTGTGGGGCTGGGAAGTTGGCTCAGCTAATGAAACATTTGCTGTCCAAGCAAGAGCACCTGAGTTCGATCTCCAGACTAGACCATGTAAAAGCCAGGTGTGGAGCTTAGCATACAATCTCAACCCCAAGGAGATGGAGACCAAGGGTCCATAGGGATCAATGCCCAGCCAGGCTCGCTGAATTGGCAAGCTCCTGGACACTGAGAGACCTATCTTAAAAAGTAAGGTGGAGGGTCTGGAGAGATGACTCTGGTTAAGAGCTCTGTCTGCTCTTCCCGAGGACAAACACTGAGCTGCATTGTCAACATTACGCAGCCTTTCTCAACACGAATTCACACTTTTCCTGCATCTAGGGTAATGAACATTTATACAATCACAAAGTTGGCTTGTTCATAACCCTCCGGTCTCTCTCCCCAGTGATGAACCCCAGGCCCTGGCCACCAGCTGCTTCTAGGAGAAAAGAAACTGAGATGCGGGTCAACACTGATCCAGACAGTGGGGCATGCCCGGGGGTACAGGTAAGAGTTCCTCCGGGGATGAAAAATGCATCTTCCAATGTAGTGTTTTTTGGGGGAGGGTATTAATTTTTTTTTTCTATTGAAAATGTTTTGTGTCTACCACATTTCAAGATTTTGTTGTTGTTATTTAGCAGTAAAATAGCCATTTAAGCAAGTAGTTGGTGTGACTTCTCTCTCTCTCTCTCTCTCTCTCTCTCTCTCTCTCTCTCTCTCTCTCTCTCTCTCTCTCTTTCTCTCTTGGTTTTTCGAGACAGGGTTTCTCTGTGTAGCTTTGCGCCTTTCTGGATCTCGCTCTGTAGACCAGGCTGGCCTCGAACTCACAGAGATCCGTCTGGCTCTGCCTCCCGAGTGCTGGGATTAAAGGCATGCGCCACCACCGCCGCAGCCGCCGCCACCGCCACTGCCGCCGCCACCACCACCACCACCACCACCACCACCACCACCACCACCACCACCACCACCTGGCACATTTTAAAATTCTTATTGCATGAAAAGCAGTATTTTTACACCACCTATCTAATTTCATTGAGGAATGTACAGCAGAAAAGCCATCTTCATTCCTGCACTCCCGGTGCATCTCAGGAGAAGAACCGTGGGACTGAAACAACTTGGGGAAGAGGGTTAGCAAGATAACTGAGGTACCTCTTACGTCACTATTACCAAAACCACAAACACAGTGGAACAGAGGATGTGTTTATTGTGACTCTCAGTCTCCATGGCAGGGGGGGCACGGTGCTCACGACTGTGGAGCATTCGGTCAGGTGGCTCCTATCATGGCAGAACAGGAAGCCAAAGTCAGCTGGACCCAGGGAAACCCCCAGAGGCCCATCCCTGGGGGACCATACTTCCAGCAGCTAGACATCACTTTCTCAAATGATCCACAGCCTCCCCAACGATACCTAAGACATGAGACTATGGGGAGCATTCCATATTCAAACTCCAACAACTGCAAGCAGTTAGTTGTTCGGGGAGAAAGAAAAGTATTCTTTTTTTATCCTATAAAATCATGGTACAATCAATTCAGGAAGCCTTCCTCTCAGACTATGCTTGTTGGGGATGGAGGAGCACTCAGTGGCTAAGAGAACTTGCCACTCTTCCTGAGGTCATTAGTTCAGTTCCCAGCACCCACACCAGGCAGTTCACAACTGCCTGTAACTCCCACTCCAGGGGATCTGAAACCTTCTGGCCTCTGTGGGCGCGCGCACACACACACACACACACACACACACACACACACACACACGCAAATCTTTTTTTTTTTTTTTTTTGAGCTGAGGACCGAACCCAGAGCCTTGCGTTTGCTAGGCAAGCGCTCTACCACTGAGCTAAATCCCCAACCCCTATGCATGCAAATCTTTAAGAAAAAAGAAAGTAGGCTTTTTTTGATCCCACAGGGTCTGTGTTTCTGATGAGGAAGAGCTGTTCCATGGCATGCAGGCTGCTCAGCTGAGCTGGATTCAACCATTGCCTTAGGGAGACTTGGTTCTGCTTCTGTCCAGTCTTGAGCTCTATGGCAGGACATGAGGCTGGTGATCTGATCCACCACAAGCTTCTGGTCCTCTACTCGACCCTGCTGTTCTGTGTATCTTTACCCCTTCCAGCTAAGGGATTCTGTGCTATGGAGCCTCTCCATCCAGGCAGAGGGCCGAAGTTTGGATATTAAAGACCAAAGGATCTCAAGAGTGAGCGTGGATTGTGCATGTATGTCCAGGCTGTGCTGGGCCAATGGTATTTCAGTTTTACTTGGTGAATTTTAATTTATACACTATCGGTGATGGAGAAACCCAGTCCTGGGGAAGGACATCTGAGTTTGACTTTTGACCTTGCTCCGTAACCGGTGGTTTGGGCAGGACTTCAAGCTCCCTGAGTCACTTCTTTCTCTAGAGAGGTATGACAATGTCCATTTAAAAGGACCTCATAAGAGGGGCCCACACAGAAGGTTCAGGTACTGACTGCTCAGCTTGAAGACTGAATGCTTCTGAGAACATTTTCTTCCACCACAGATAGTTGTATCACCTTTTTTTTTTGAGATAGAGGTTTGCTACATTGCCTAGGTTGACCTCAGACTTGCAATCCTCCTGTCCCAGGCATCCAAATGCTGGGACTGTAGATGTGTGCCACTATACTCAGCTCGAATAGTCTTATTAACTAAATGTGTTGTGTTTTGAACTTCTCTACTGGAAAGCTATTTCAGCCCAAGTGGGAGCCAACACACTTAGACACATTCCTTCCACTGTGCCCAGCCTGTAGGCAGTGCTGAGCCTTGCTCTCATGAAGACTGCCTCACACACAGGTGCAAGGAGCGCCTCGTTTTCGGTTTGCTACACAGACATATTTGTGGGGGGGCAGCTGTCAGATGGTTGAACTTGGCTGAGAGTTTGATTTACAGTCAACGGTTTAATTTACTTACCAACCGCATTCGCTGGAGAGGACAGAGGGCCCTTGACTGAAGACTCCGGATCCGTCTAGCAATTTTGAAACAAAATAAGTCATACACACAGTTCAGGAAAGGCGTTTTTCTGAAATAGTGGTAGAAACAGGCAACTGTTGAAGACAATCACCATGTTTATCATCTTTGTAGAAATCTCCACATGATGAGGGTCAGGTAGGTGTGGGGGAGGTGACTGGGTTTAGGTGAGGTTGTAAGGTCAGGATGAATGTCCTCAAAAAAAGGAGTCTTGGGGGGGATTGCTCTCCCTCCTTCTACATGTGAGCACATAGTTGGGAAGGTGGCTGCCTCCATCTCTAGGACCTGCTGTGCTGGCTCCATGTTCTCTTAGTTCCACCTTTTGAACCATGAGAAAATTGATTCCTGCTATTTAAACAACCCAGCCTGTGGTGTTCTGTGACAGCGACCTGAGCTAAGACAATATTCCAGTATATGCATTTCACAGTTCCTTCTTAATCCTGGGTAGCTTCAGAGACTGGAAAGAGGATCCATGGGAGGATGTTGGGGAAGTAAAGTTCAAATCAATGTGAGTGATATTGATCTGACCCATGAATATGGGTAAATAAGACCAATATGACCCAGGAAGGGTCACAATGCTTCAGTTAACTCAAAATGTGTCATAACTTAGTAGAACAGAAGCAACTAGAAAAGTGAACATATGATGTGGAAGACAAGTGACCTACCACCCTCTCTCAGCAGCTATTAATTACCGATAGCTCTAGGGGGTGGGGCCTGGTGAGATCTCCTCCATTCGTGATAACGTGTCAACGGGTGGTGTCATTGTTTGGGACTTGTTTAGGTCCTGGGTGCAGCTTCCCTTTCGTATATAGAAGACACACTCTTGTAGCAGATGTTCTAGGCCCCTGGCTCTTAAAATCTTTCCACACACTCTCATGTGATGTTCCCTGAACCTTGGGTGTTGGAGTTGTGTTGTAGGTGTCTCAACTAGGGCTGATTGGTTGTTATGTTGATCACTTGTGGATTTTTGTAACGGTCTTCACCTGCTGTAAAGGGAAGCTTCATTGATAAGACATATTTTTTTAAATGCTATATACTCATTAATCAGTTTTTTAGATTTTTAAAGAACTTCACACGTGTGAGTGTTTTGCCTGCATGTATACCTGGTGCTCACAAAGGCCAGATGATGTGTTGGATCCCCTGGAACTGAGGTTAGATGTGGTCGTTAGCTGCCATGTGAGTGCTGGTAGTCAAATCTCATGTCCACTGGGAGAGCAACTAGAGTTGTTTTTTTATTAATTAATTTATTTATTTTATATCCTGACCAGTTTCCCCTCCGTCCTCTCCTCCCATTCCCCCCCCCCCAGCTCCCCTCTGCCCCATCCCCACCCCTGTCCACTCTGTTTCTGTTCAGAAAGGGGCAGGCCTCCCTTGGATATCGACAGAACATGGCATATCAAGTTGCAGCAAGACTAATCACCTCCCCTTGTACTAAGGCTGGGCAAGGCGATCCAGTGTGAGGAATAGGGTCCCAAAAACCAGCCAAAATGTTAGTGACAGCCCCTGCTCTCACTGTAAGGAGTCCTGCAAGTAGGCTAGCTACATACTGTCACGTAGATGTAGAGCCCCTAGGTCAGTCCCGTGTAGGCTCCCTGGTTGTCAGTTCAGACTCTGTGAGCTCCTACCAGCTCAGGTTAGTTGATTCTGTTGGTTTTCTTGTGATGTTCTTGACCCCTCTGGCACCTACAATCCTTCCTCCCTCTCTTCAGCAGAATTACCTGAGTTTGGCTTAATGTTTGGCTGTGGGCCTCTGCATCTGTTTCCATCAGTTATTGGATGAAGCCTCTCTGATGACAATTGGGGTAGGCACTAATCTATGAGTACAGCAGAATATAGTTAGGCATCATTACATTGACTTTTTTTCTTCCCTCCAGTCATGTTCAGTTCTATCCTAGGTCTCTGAGTCATCCAGCCTCTGGGTCCTGGTGCTCTGGGCAGTGTCAGGGGTGGGCTCACTCTCTTGGCCTGGGTCTCAGGCTGGAACAGTCATTGGTTGGCCACTCCCTCAATCTCTGCACCACCCTTACCTCTGTACATCCCACAGGCAGACAGATTGTAAGTCGAAGGTTTTGTGGCTGTGTTGGTTTCCTAATCCCTCCACTGGAAGTCTTGCCTGGTCACAAGTAGGCTAGCTACATACTGTCACGTAGATGTAGAGCCCTCCAGTCATGTTCAGTTCTATCCTAGGTCACGTGACTGTCACGTAGATGTGGAGAGGGCCAGTTCAGGCTACATGTCCACTATTGCTTGGAGTCTTAGCTGGGGTCATCCTTGTAGATTCCTGGGAGTTTCCCTTGCACCGGGTTTCTACCTGACCCCGAAATGTGCCCCCCCTTTCCAGTCATCTCTTTCAGTACTCTCCTCCTTCACTCCACCCCTCAACCTGATCCCTCATGTTTCCATCCCCACTCGCCCCAGTCCACCCATGAAATCTATTCTATTTTCTCTTCTCAGGGAGATCCAAGCATCCCCGCCTTGAGCCCTCCTTGTTATCTAGCTTCTCTGGGTCTGTGGATTGTAGCATGGTTATCCT